GGGGGAAGGAGGCGCTGGGGGTGGGGCGGTCACATGCGGTGTCAGAAGCTAGGTGGTCTAGAAAGATAGAGGTCTAGACAGGATACTGGGCTAGATGGACCTTTGGTCTTACCCCGCACGGCCGTTCTCCTGTTCTCATGTACTATAAAATCATGGCTGGTTTGGAAAAAGTGCAAAAAGAAAAGTTATGTACTTGGTCCTACAATATAAAAACTAGGGGGTCACCAAATGAAATTAATAGGCAGAAAGTTTAAAACAAACAAAAGGAGTTTTTTTATTCACTCAGTGCGCGATCAACCTGCGGAACTCCTTGCTAGAGGATCAGGTGAAGACTAGGACTTAACAAGGTTCAGAAAAGAGCTAGATAGATTCATGGAGGTTAGGTCTATGAATGGCTGTTAGCCAGGATGGGTAGGAATGGTGTCCCTAGCCTGTTTGTCTGGAAATGGGTGACAGGAGGGGATCATGGGAGGATTACCTGTTGTGTTCCCTCCCTCTGGGGCATCTGGTATTGGCCACTGTCAGCTGACTGGATACTGGGCTAGATGGACCATTGGTCTGACCCTAACCCTAACCCTAAGTTCTTACATATATTCTTAGGTGGCTGCTGTCCTGGTGCAGCGCCGCGGGGGAGGCTGCACAAGAACCGGACTCTCTGTCACGGGTCTGTCCATCACCCAGGTGGCTGCTTATCTGCAACCTGCCACACTCAACCCCTGTGGCTTCTGGAGGGGAGCAGGGGTGCTTTGTTTCACTTGATTCCCGCTTGTCCACGACTTGTGTGGGTGGCTCTGCTTCTGTAGTCTTCAAATGAGAGCTGATTGGTGAAGCTCTGAGCAGCAGAAATATTGCTGCTTTCTGCACATTTGGAAAAGTGCCTTGTAGTAAGGATGTTAAGAACCAGTCGATTTCCGCCCCCCCTTCTCCCCACTTGCTGTCTCAATTAGAGGCAGCCAAGCGGGAGGGAAGAAAAGATACTTCATAGGGGCAGCACTGCACAGACCCTGGGGTTAGTTATGTGACTTTGCCCCTTTGAAACACTGTCGCACCGCATGGAGTCAGCTGGGGAGTCTCCAGCTGACCCTGGGTTCTGTGGAAATACCGTGCGGAGCCCAGGATCATCCCCAGCTGACCCTGGGTTCCGTGCAGCATTTCCATAGAACCCAGGGTCAGATGGGGAGTCCCCAGCTGACCCCAGGTTCCTGGGAATGCTGTGTGGAGTCCCTCGCTGACCCCAGGCTCCATGAAGGAGCTTCTGCTTTGAAATTCATAAGAGCTCCTGCTGGTGACTCTTGTACATTTCAAAGCTGGTAGACTCCGGGCTCCATGCTGGTGCTTCCGCTTTGAAATGCACAAGAGCCCCCAGAGAGTCTTATGCATTTCAAAGGGTAAGCACCCTTGTGGAGCCTAGAGTCAGCAGCACTTCCCGCTGGCCTGGGCTACATGCGGAGTTCCACATTCCTCCTTTTAAATGTACATCAACTAGTCAAGTAGTAAATTAGTCTACTTCCTTTCTTTGTAGTCTAGTCCAGTAGTGCTCAACTTTTTTTCATTTGCAACCCCCCCAGAGTCAGGACAATTTTTGTTGAGCGCAAAAAAAAAAACCTGCTAGGAACATTTTGTTGCGGCCCCTTTAATTTAAAGCACAGGTCTGCTACTCTACCACTCCCCCTGGGTTTACGTCTCATCTGGTGCTGAGCCAGGAAAAGAAAAGGCTGGCCGCTGCAACTCCTCAGGAAGACAGGTTGCACGCCGCTGGACTAGTCCTTTTGTGTTGGGAAGATTATCTTTATAGCCATAAGGACCAGACGCTGTTTTAAAATGAGCATGTGTGGGCTAGTGTGTTTGTTCGGGATCAGCCTCTTATCTGAAATACTTTCACATACTTTAAGGTATTGCAAATCTATGCCGCATGTTAATACTTTGCAACTGTAGGTACTGAACAGGGTGGAGTTTAAATTAGAAATGTAACATCCCAGTTAATCAGTTAACCACATAAAC